AGAGAGAGAGAGAGAGAGAGAGAGAGAGAGAGAGAGAGAGAGAGAGAGAGAGAGAGAGAGAGAGAGTTTTCTAGCCATGCACGCAAAGAGATAGAGACAAGCTACTTCCAGCGGAACTTATGAAGACGATGGTCAACCACTGCGCCTGGCCCCCTGCGACGTCAGACACCGATCAACATTAGACACTGACTGCAGCAAACTTACGAAGAGGATGGTCAACCACTGCGCCTGGCCCCGTGCGATGTCAACTTGCGAGGACGATGACCAGCGAACTTATGAAGACGATGGTCAACCAATGCACGTGGCGCCCTGCGACGAGGATGCTACCGACCCCCCCCCCCGGACTACTGAGCTCATCTCCCGACACCGCGTGCGGGTACTGAACCGCTGTGCCTGGGCGGACCGCTGAGCCCGCCTCCCGAAACAATCCACTGCGTGCAGCGCCGCAATTTCCCTGGCCCTCACTGCCCACGTCCCGCTGCTGCGCCGCACATCAATTTTCGTTTCATTTTGTTTTTTTTCCATCCTGGGCTTGGCACCCGAGGTCCCAAACCTGGAAACCGGGTCTGGTGCCGGCGTCACACGACACCCGACTTTTCCTTTAGTAGTATAAAATAATGTATATATATGTAGATATGTAGATATGTAGATACGTAGATGTAGATGTAGATGTAGAAAAGACCCATGAAGATTCCGGCACAGTGAATGGACGAAACGTAGGGTCAGCCGCCGTTCGCTTGACATGGATATCGAGTCATATCGACACTATGGGCACGACGCGTACATACGGTTCAAGCCTTTGATAGCTGTTGTTGAATTTGTTAATTTCGTAAACGATTGGTCGCATTCGGGAGTAAATCTGACGTGTCTCCGTTTCCATGTGTTTGCTGAACTTTGCTCTCGTCTGCTGTCCTATGTCTGTCTCTCTGGTCTGATGTCAGGTGTCTTCTCGCTTTGACCTTTCTATGAATGCCGTTGTCCTTGTCATCACCCTGTTTGCTGTTTCACGTCTTGAATCTTCTCGCTTTGACTTTGGTTCTACGAATGCCGCATCCTGTTTTGCAATGGTAGAATTTACGACGTTCGATCATGTTTGAGAGGCTTAGCCAAAGCACCCTAGGCTTAACCTGGTGGCTCCAGCGGCTACGAAAGCCTGAGAGAGATCTGGGTCCATCAGACTCAGAGAAGAGATGGGACAGGGTGCTGAGCAGAGGGGCATGCTTTTCGGGGAACGAGCAGAGATTGTTATTTCATTCATTCATGAATATAACTACGGAAGGTCAGCATAAGAAAAAGGGGGAAATCTGCTCCTATTGTCCAGTTGGCTTGCTCCTCTCCCGGCCCTGTTCAAACCCCTGCGTGGCGCGTTTAAAAGTGCCACGAGGCAAGAGACGGTAGAAATCTGAACGTGCTGCTCCTGCCAGCGCGCGTGCACCAAAGCTTCACCTGGGGGTCCGAGGCGCTTAGGGGGAAAAAACGAAGTGTCCTCTGCTGACACACACACACACACAAACGTCTTGAAGTTTTTTTTGTTTCTTCTTCTTCTTCTTTTATTTGTTTCTTTCGTTTTTGTTCTTGTTTCTGGGGTCCCGCACCCCTTCATGGCCACCCACAACCCCTCCCCTGGTGCAAATCAATCATACAATCATACAATCAATCAATCAATCAATCGATATTGATTGATTGATTGA